GCCGCCAAAAATTATTAGGGGCCGTTTGGAGATGGCCTCTTGCCGTCGATGTCAAAATGTCGGTTGGATTCCGCCCCGTTTTCGCGGAGTTCGTTTTCAGACCCCTGTCTAAGATATCTGTATAAGTGGACAAAAAGGGGGCGGAGTATTCACTGTGGGGGTGCGGCGAATAAGGGGGGCCGCATGTCCGTCCAGTCAATGTCAGGTATGACAAACTTGACCACTGGCCAGTTCATGATAAAAGTGCACGTCAGCGGTGCAAGTACAACAATGCGGTGCAGTGCTTAACAAAAACAGAAACTGCTTTGTTGCATTCCATGAAAAATAACTGTTCCATATGAGACAAGACAAGGACTGATGCTTGAAAATAGTGAAAAGATTTTGCTCTTCGTCTGTAATTGTATAATTAATGCATTAATCATTGATATGTTGATTTTAACAAAGATAATATTGATTTGAATTATTACAACAGTCTTATGAATGATTAAAAACCAATATATTTTAACAAATTTCAAACTTAGCTATTTTAGCATTTTCCGTTATTTACCAATGTAGCAAATTTGATACAACTTCAAAAACAAGGTAAAGCGGACCAAAAAAACATTTTTCCAGTTTTGATCAGTTTTGGCATCAGAGAAACACATTTTGACCAGTGAATGTATTTTTAGTTCTATCCTGACAGGGTTTGGGTGATAGAGGGTTAAGGAGGGGGAAGTGTGATGATTCTAGTTTTAACATTACTCTAGGAAAAAATACTCTAGAGGAACAGGTTAGGCCTACTTCTCAAAAGGAAGTTTTTAGTAAAGAGGCACGTGAGAAATATGACAAAGTAATAGTATGTGGAAACTCGATAGTTAGACAAACTGATAAACCCATTTGTAATAGCGGGGATAGGAAGGATAGATCAGTTTTAACCTTTGGAGGGGCAAGGGCAAAAGATATTAAAGAGAGGCTAGCATGTATAATAGATAAAGAGGATGGTAAAGGCACAGTAATCCTCCATGTAGGTACTAGTGATGTCCTTAACAGGAAATTGGAAGAGGCCAGGGAGGAGTTGCTAAGTTTGTTGGAGAAAGCAAGAGAAAGAGTAAAGGGCAAACTGGTAGTGTCAGGTATACTCCCCTGTCCTAATATGATAATAGACTTGGGAGTAGCCTGCTCTTTCAATGCAGGGCGGGGTACTTGCCACTGAATAAACGAACTAGACACTGGAGAGGTGAATATAAATGCATAATTTGTGGGAAAGGAGAGTTGGAGACCCTGGAGCACTTTTTACTAGAATGTCCTGGACATGAAAACCATAGAAAACTTTTTTTAATAAGATTAAACGTAGAACAGGTTTGGAAGCAACAGAAACCTCACATGACATGCAGGAGCTCTTGAAAACTCTCCTGGGGTTTAGGGTTGGCAGCATCCTTATTACTATAGTTCAGCGTACTAAGCAGTACCAGGAGATACTTTGGGGAGCTAGATCAGCTGCACTCACAAATCTATAAGGGGATACCGAATGAATTCTTTTTTTGCAGGGAAATACCGATCTAAAGGTTCCCAGTCATACATATATACATAGCCGGTATTGAAAGGGTTAAGTGGTTTGTCTTGAAACTGTACCACAACTTTACTCAACTCAAACTTGCCTCATTCACACCAACATAACCACACGAAATCTTCACCTTTTCTCATGATGTACACATTCATGTCACAATATGACAATGTTTTCCCGTTTTTTACATGCCATAGCCATGCAATAGTAAGTAAGGCTAAAGGACAGATTCTTCGTCTTTCCGCACCTATGGCTACTCTTTTCTTTCTGGCTAAATACCATGAAGATGGAACTGACGTCATTGAAGTGCTCCCACTTATCATCGACGAGCGTGCTCATAATTAATTAGTGACACCCGTGCAATCGCCGTCCTCGTAAGGGAGCGAGAAATAATCTCACAATTAATCTAAAAATGCGCCATAGTGCGCATGCTCACTGGTGACCACCCCTAGGGTCACTAGAGTAATAGCCTTTACACACAGACTCCCAAGTCACAGGATTTCCTTCTAGTCTCAGAGACTCCAAAGTATTTCACCTGTTTTGACGAGAACTTTAAAATTACAGACAAAACGTCAATGGTTGGCCTTGTGAATGCAGTTACTGCTGAACCTCCGTGCAGTCTTCTTGCTGATAGCTTACAAAGCTTAGATGCATCTAACCCATATGCTCTTATTTGTCTTGGTTGCTATGCATCTGCAGTTTTTATCAACAATGGTAAATATTTCTTGTTTGATTCTCATGATCGCAACAACCATGGCTTACCAGCTTGTAATGGCACTGCAGTTTTGCTAAATACAATAATGTAACCCAACAAGAGTAGGCAAACATTTTATGAGCTCCATTGCTGACTCTGGTGTGGTATGACTACCAGCCTTCACTAGCCACTCGGACAAATTTGTGCCTACAACAGCAGCACCTAGCACAGACAAATTGTCTCTAACGCTGAGGAAGCTCTATGTGAAGCACAGTGAACGGTGCGAAGCTGAATTCAAGGAGCTGTGCAGAACGGAGGGTGATTTGCACATCACTCTCACGCAAGTGTGGTACGTCGAGGAGGTAACACGTGCTCAGGCATCCTCACACGTGTGGCATGATCAACGCGTCGGCAGAATCACATCATCAACAGCACATCTCGTCCAGCACCGTCACTCGTCAAGAAAATTTGCACTGCACAGCCACTCCCACTTCATGCTCCGGCTGGTAAGTGGGGAATAGAACATTAGGACACTGCATTTCAACAGTACACATCATCACACAGAGGATCACACACAATATCAAACGTACAATGATGAGTGATCTGGAAACAATTTCCTTAATTGCTCATTGTTTACAACTACAGTGACATCATTATAACTCAATACAAAATGTTACAGAATTGTGTATTTTAAAATTATACGTAATACACTTTACCTTTAATACTATAATTTAGTGTAATGTTTTGAAATTTTTACGAACATTTTTTTCTTTTTATTATCTAATTTAATTGTTCCAAAATAAAAGTCACTGGAATATGCTTTTACCTCTGCTAGGTACGCTTTCCAAAGCGTTTCAAAGTAGAAGTTCAATTGTTATAGGTTTGCAGTGTTAAGGAGTTCATTCTTGGGTTTCAATACTTGGCATCTGTATACACTCCGAAATGCTCCAGAGACAATCTTCTCACCAAGTTGCAGTTTTGTTGGAGAAGGCGCACTCCACTGCCATTCCTTGTTTCCCCCTTTGGAGACTTGTCCAAAGCCATATATCTCAGCATCTATTTCACAAACTTGTGCTGCAGTGATTAAGATCATTTTTATTGCTGCTAATCAATAGTACCAGGTCAATTGGAATAGCTTTGACTGGCCATCGTCAAATATGGTTCAATTTTCATTGACAGTGCTGAAAATTATGGCTCTGATGACGACGGCAGTCTACAAGAGCTACTTGAGCAACCTGCTCAAGTTAATGCAGTTAAGGTAAGGAATTGAGATAAACGTCTTCAAATCTGCATGCCCATCAAAAGTAAAACATTGGTACGTGTACTGTGTAGATGTTTTATCAACCAAAAAGTACGTTTTCTATCTTCATTGTTTAGTTAATATTTAGAGTTTATCTCACCTACGTTTATAATAATAAAAAATTCTGTCATCATAATTTTGTTTATGCACCTGAAGGTCGCACACGTCAACTACGTCAGGCCATACCAAGTGAACAGCAGCAGGCCACTCCGGCCACTCCAAGTGAACCGCAGCAGGCCGCTCCGGCCACTCCAAGTTAACTGCAGCAGGCTGCTCCAGCCACTCCAGCTGTACAGGTGCCGCAGACACCTAGAGAGATTCGTCGCCAGCGAGGTATGCCATTTATTTCTCTTCAATGCCAATTTGTATCATTTTTCAATAACATGAAATGTAATTTACAATTCACTAACAGAAATGACTGTGTAGTCACCATTCAACAGACTCAATAGAGCACCAGTACAGCAGCAATCATCTAGTTTTATGTACATGTACATGTACTAGTTTACTGTTTTGCATAAATATGTTGTAATGATGCTGCTCTGCAGTTTGCTTTATCATTACTTTGACACGATATGCTTTAAATGCTTAGATGTAATATTAAAATAAAATTTTCAACCTTATTTAGAAATCGCGTGTGTCAAGCTGCGGCAGCACAAAGTTGCAGTCATGCACTTCACGGACGAAGATGCGTGGGAAGACAGAAACTGCGCCAACACCATCTTTGTGTCTCGGCTTACTGTAGTCGAAGATGCTTTACGCTCTGGAGCAACTCTTTCTTTTCGGTTTGTTTCCCAATTGTTCTTTAGCAACACGTGTGCTAGCTCTTCAGCAATGTTTAAAAACCACGGCTTCGTCCAGTTTGTTGGTTGCACTGCACTCAGTGAATAGCACTTGGAAAGGATCTGGATGCGGACAACGATGGCACCACCATTATTCCATATGTTCTCATTCCATTCAGGAAGTAAAGACCAATAATAGGCTGAATTTAATTGAGGAATTATGTCCTTTACATTGAGGAGTATGTCATTTTTTTTTAAATATTTACACTGTATTATGATATTTTGTAATTACAGTGAGTAAATTGCATGGCCACTTGTCTGTTTCAACGGGGAGGTTGGGGTGGACCAGGGAGGCCATCGGCGAGAATTTATAAGTCTCGTGCTGAAGACGATAGTGATGTCGCGAAATCTGGAACTTTGGAATTTTCATGGTCAGTGAACTACATGCATCATTAATAACAATGAAATCTATTTATTACTTTTTCAATTCAATTTAGTACATTAATGCTGCTTCTGTGTATGTGTTGAAATCATGACTAAAGTATGCACCAGATTGCACCATTTTAAATGTAAAATTGTCGAAGCTCCCTACCATGGCAGGGGGCATACCCCCCCTCCCACACCCTCCCTTGCTCGGTCGCTTCGCTCTCTCATGCTTGGTCGCTCCGCTCCCTCGCAATGTCTCACTCAAAACTCTTATTCAAAGCTTCCAAATGATGGCAGCACTGTGCAATCTTTGTCTATTCATTAATGCGGTACCGCTATATATAAACACAATTGGACATGAGTCCCAAGCTATGGTCCCGAGTGAAGGAAGTTAGTTCTTTATTTTTAACTTTTAGATGTCAGAAGTCATCTCAGGTTTGATGAAAATTGCTTGGTAAACAGTAAGGAAGTTATTTATGGATCACTGCAAGGACAGAAATGTGTTAAGCAAGAGCCAGTGCTGGTCCATTTAACAGATCCAGCTACAGCGACAGTTATGACATTTCCACATGATGAACATGTATCATTTGCAAGCAGTGATTGTGAGTATTTGATTTGTAAAAATGATAGGGTATAGTCACAAATTAGATAATTGTCTCTGCATTTGCATCTCTCCTTCCCCCTCTGTCCTTTCTCTCCCCGATGTGAGTTATTGTCATAAGAAAATTAAAGGATTGTATACGAAATGCAAACATGCCAGCAAGCTCTCATTGCGAATACATAACATTCGTGATTTCTAATGTAAATGCACTGTTTTTTTGCGAATATCACAGCTGGAGACATATTTGAACATGAGCCGTATTTGAGGAGAGTTCAGCATGGGGGTGATGAATTCACACCGTCTGATGTAGAGACAAGCCCTAGTGACTATGCTTATTCAGTATGCACCCGCAAAGAATGTAAGTTATTGTCATGAGAAAATTAAAGATTGTATAGAAAATGCTAAAAAGGCCAGCGTCTCATTGCGAATGTAGCAATTTTTCATTTCTAATGTGATTTTTATGCACTGTTTTTTTGCCAATATCACAGCTAAAGACCTATTTGAACAAGAGCCGGAGGGTGTGCAAGAACATCCCACAATGCGGCAGATGCTGACGAGAGTTCAGCATGGGGGTGATGAATTCACACGTTCTGATGTAGAGACAATCCCTAGTGACTATGCTTATTCGGTCACCTGCGAAGAATGGAAGTATAGTGTCATGAGAAAATTAAAGGATTGTATAGAAAATCCAAACATGCCAGCAAGCTCTCCTTGCGAATACATAACAATTTGTGATTTCTAATGTAAATGCACTGTTTTTTTGCGAATATCACAGCTGGAGACATAATTGAACATGGGCCATATTTGAAGAGAGGTCAGCGTGGGGATGATGCGCTCTCTGAGGTAGAGGCATTCCCAAGTGACGATGATCAGTCACGCACCCGTCGAGAATGTGAGTTAATTATCACCAGCCAGAGATCATCAGTTTCCATAAAATTTATTCTTAAAATCATTAAATCAACAAAGTTACTGTAACAGCACCTCTCTGATCTGTATTCAACGGCTATCCTCAAAACCTCCCGGTTGCAAATTCGATCTTATTTCATAATTTATGATTTCCGAAGTGAATTGTAATATAAATAATTTTTGACGTTACTTTTCTAATTTTCATAGTTTCTGACCTATTTGGACCGCATGCACCTTCTTCATGAAAATTATCTTCAAATGTTATAGCCGTGGCACATCCAGCCATGCAGCCTGACGACCACCCTATCAAGCTAGGAGAGGCTACTGACAAGGATGAGGATCCTATGGAACAAATAGATCCACTCGGCCCATCAAAAACTAAAAGAAAAACACGACAACGGAGACAGGTCAGTAATGCACCAAGACATACGTGTCCCGTTCCGTCCTACAAAGGCCAGGCAGTTCATAACTTAACGCACATGAAGCAGGTGCATCTCACAATTCCTAAATAGAAAGCTGAAACTATGGTAAGAAAGGCAGAAGGGGAATTGACTAGTGAAGTCAAAAGAGTGTATCCCAAATACGTCTGTTTACTGTGCAAGAAACCACAAACGAGAATAGATATTCATCTGAAAAAGCCACATAGGTTGGCAAAGAGTAGCGCAGAATACCCAGATGCAAAAGCAGCAGCTACAATATTCGTAGACAAACACAGTAAGAAAAAATTCTCAGAAATATCACATGTTCTCGATGAGTTTAATGATTATCTAGCAAGTTTTATGGGGGGAAATATTGTTGAGCACGTCGTAAAAGCACACGTACAGAGAGTTAATACTATTTTGCAAATGACCGAAACACCACCCACCGTAGGCGAAAAGGCCGGTGTAGTTTCTCAACTCGAGTAGAAATCATGGAAATCAACCACAATTATAATATACCTCTGTAGTGTAGAGAAATTTATTGAATTCATGGAAATTTCCTGTCAGCATCTGTACCAGGGCTCACTTCAGAAACTCCAGAAGGTTATTGGCAATGTGTAGAAAGAAGTACACAAGGACGTAAAAAAAGCAGAATCAGAAGCAAAAATTGCAGAACATAGCTCAGAGATGCCCATGCAATATATCAGAAAATATCACGATTCTGCAGCAGCAAAAAATGCGGTAAAATGCTTAGAACCCGACAGAATTATTTGTGGCTGCGTTTATAAATGTGCGAAATCATCTGATGCTATCTGCGATCCTTACTAATGATCAGAGGGCAGGAGACATAATGAATATGACAGTAGAGGAGTTAAAGTCACCACTGACTGACGATGATGGGAATAATATCATTCTAGTTAAAGTCCATAAGACGAGAGCGACATCAGTATGCCACATAAACCTACACAGAGCTTTGTATCAGCAATATCATCTGTTCGTTGATAAGGTGCGGCCGTTTGTGCCAAACACTGTAGGGAATGTGTTTACTAGTAGAACAGGGCAAACTCTAACGAACTCGGCATTTAATATATCCATTAACAAAGCATGGGAAAACTTCGAAAGAGAGGTAGAAGAACCTCTACACGGAATAAGTGCTTCTTTGATGCGAAAAGCACAGTGACTGCTCTGCGAAAAATGAGAGCAACGTGAAACTAGGAAAAGACACTGGCACATCATATGTGCCATTCGGTACACATAGCCGACAAGCATTATGACCTTACACTAGGTATCCAAAAAACAATAGCTGCCACTGAAGGCATAAGAAAAATGTTTGGAACGGCTATAGAACACATTTCTGAAAGTGAGTCAGAAAGTTTTATTGAACCACCCACAGAACATATAGGTGTAGAAGATACATTCATAGAACATGGTCGCAGAACATTTAGACCAACAGATGCACAGCTGTTAACAATAGCCATGGCAAAGCTCATTAAAACGAAAGCCAGTGAAATGCAATCAAAACTTGGTTGGCAAGAGGTAATTGAGGAATTCGAAAACGCAGGCCCTAGTTTCGCATGACTGTTGCAAAATTACAGTAAATCACAACTGACGGAACGAGTCAGGTATGAAATGAGAAAAAATCGTAATCGAGGTAAGAAACAAAGTTGCTAATATTTCGGAGGGGTTTCAGAGTTAAAGGGAAGCAAAAACGTTACAGGGACACGTGCGATGGCCGTGTGCAGTAGCAAAATGCAAAGCAAAGCATCTAACCAGATATGCATTCAATTCAACGCAGAGAGCTTAGAAGGTAGTTGACTAGAACAGAGTAGAGAGTAGAGATAAATTCACACATTAACCAACGAAGGGACGTAGAACTGCATAGAACAATGAAGATCCCTTCTCCCCTCTTGTTGAGAATGGCGACAGTGGTCAATATGACCATTAGGAGACATACTTCTAGAATAATAATGCCTACACTGAAAACCCGTGATACTACTTAGATCACGTGGTGTCCGCAACGTAGCATAAATAGCAAGCTTTTCTAACAGAGGAAGAAGTCACCCGAGGGTGAATATGTGAGTATGGTTGGTCAGCGCATGTCTTGCACGTTTTTCTTGTATATGTTCGTAGTTAAGTCTTACCGTATTCTTGTTATACTTATAGTGTGCGTCTTAAACGTATGTCTTAAAACTCCTTTTAAGACTGGTACCTATATGTGCGTGTGTAAACTCTTTTTAAAGATCTTGCATTACGTATGTAACTAATAACTTGTCTCTATAAACTTGTGTAAGAATTAAATAGACATTTGTTTGTACGTTATACTTTCGTGTCTGTCTACTATCTCGTGCCTACCTCAGGGTACATAATTACCCGCACCAAGTTAGAACCTGGGCGTACACTATACATCGACACGAGCCACACATGAGAGTACACATATGTACGAATCCTTTTCATCATTACATAACTTCATAATTGTTTTTCAGAGTTAGTAGCAACTCATCCATCACTACCTAATGGAAGGCTTGGAATGCTCTTTGATCAGTTTATATCAAACATCATCCTACGAGTAATAGATATCATTGGAACCTACCACGAATTCATGAACATTATCAATGAAGCCAGAAGCACATTGACAGTGCTCACACAAACAATCAACAACCTACTAGCTCTTACCCTCCCATCCACACCACTCGCGCCTAAAGAACTATACCACACCCTTACCCACATCAAGCAGCAACTCCCGCCCGCATTTAAACTCGCGTACTCACCATCCACACAACTATGTAGTAGCGTAAAAGCAGCATCTATGCACGCCTATAACTATAGCTTATATTAGTGTCCATAGGGGTGCATAAAGAAATCCCACCGGCGCTATGCCGGGGGAGTGATGCAAGGGCGAGTACGCGTTCATTACAGGATCACTACAGGATCGATGCTGACACTTAGGTGCTAGCATCGACGTCCTAGCAGTATTTGAATTGCAGCAGTACGTTATTAAATTGGTTTAGGTCCGCGTATCTCCCCGCGCTCCTCGCTCAGACACTCAGGAGATGTGGTCAGGAGGGGTGGTACGCGTTCATTACAGGATCGCTATAGGATCGATGCTGACACTTAGGTGCTAGCATCGACGTCCTAGCAGTATTTGAATTGTAGCAGTACGTTATTAAATTGGTTTAGGTCCGCGTATCTCCCCGCGCTCCTCGCTCAGAAGCTGAATAGAGCTCTAAGTGAGGGGCGTGTCTGTGCAAACAGTTTGGCCGAGAAGGCAGAAGCGCTCGAGAGATGAATCCTCTCTCTCGAGAAAGCGGGAGTGCGCGGGTCGAGGTAATTGAGCTGTAATAGAGCTGAAATTGAGCTGGCTAGTTCGCGATGCCCTAACGAGGGTTTGTGTCGATATAATCGATCGAGCTGTGAAGGCCGCGCTTCTCGCTCGGCACTTCAATGGAGCCCTAACGAGGGCTTGTGTCTATGTAGTGTCGCGGGAGTATAGATGACGCACGCGTGACGCACGCGTGACTCATGTGGGTTACGCGGTCGTGGCTGGCGTATATAAGCCAAGAGCCGGGGAGAATCGGGGAATTCGGCTTCACCCAGGCACCGGCAGACACGACCGCGACAACGGCTGTAACCACTCGCAGAAATCATAGTAAACGTCTAAATCATGGTAACAACTGGCTTTCTCTTATTCTTGGCTCAGACTTAACGTTGTAACACAATCAAGCTATTCGTACGCTGTCGAAGGCGGCGCTACAACTATTCCAATATTATACATCCTTGAAAGTACAGCTAAAAGTCGGGCACGTGGCAGAAGTAGTCACAGGGATAGAACGATTAACGACAGACAACACACAGCAATACCGAGCGCAGCTAAAGCGATCAGCAAACCAATAACAAGAAAAAGATCACAGTATCCAGCAGTCACGCAAAAACGGGCACTCATCCCAGCACTCGGAATACAACAATATTAGCAAGATGATGAACATACTAATTGTGTTAGTAATTAACACAGTAATGTCTGGAATATAAGTTAGTTGACTGTGTTGAATTGCTCTAAATCTGTTAGTAAATGTAATGTCTGATATGTAATATCATATTGCTCTTCATCCATATCCACTACCGGCGACAACAGTACCAACGCCATGTTATTCAGTAGTGTAGCAGAATAACAGTACTTTTTCTCGAATTTATACAGCAAATCGAAAAGATGAAATTGAACAGTACACAATTCCCAAGGACAAATAATGGTTCTTGTGATGAGAAGACCAGGCAGCGAACAACCGGAGTCTGATCGTCTCAGTGCTGTCAATGCACAGTGCCCCAAGTGGGTACTTCACTTCTAAGAAATCTGGGACAGTGTGAAATCCCAACGAATACAACTCAACTGCTACAGCTTCTGCCAGGGTAGAGGCTGAACTACGAATTGCTTGTGAAAGCTCTGAAACCGCTTTAAGCCGTATAGAATGGAAAAATCCTTTAAGGTAAAAGCAATTTATGTAACTCAATATGTATACCGCAATGGCGGTATGAGCTAACATTACGACGGGCGGCCGGCCTTAGAAAGAATCTTTTTAATTTTGAGTAAATAGGACTCGCATGGTCGAAGGCATCTTCAAAACGACGCATGTAAGCATGACTACGGAGCAAACACGAAGACACGAGTCAAGCTCCAGGGGACGCGTAAACTTGACTGCCCCGCTGCAATCCAGATACGCCAGGTGACAACCTATCCTGACTTTGGAGCCACTACTGCTCTATGTAATACTCCCAACAGTCCTTACAATGCAAAAAGAAAGAGATGCAAAGGCTAAAAGTGCATCTAGCTGAGAAGGACCACAAGAACCTGAACACGACTATAAGGTCGTACATGCGGATTTTTTTGTCTTCCTCTCACAAATTCCATCCTGTGGGAGAAGCCGCCAGCATTAATCAGACCCTCGATACGAGGGTCTGATAGACAAAGTTTTCAGTATCGTCCCTAGAGGCATCACTAAAGTCAGCGAAGTAAGAAACTGCCTCGCGGAATGTCGCGAATGAAATCTGCGCGTCCATGTCTCCAGAGGAAAGGCCCTCCCGCACCAACCGTCGCTTCTTCCCATCCAAGCGTGATCTTTGGAACCATATCTCTAGAGCAGCGATGTCTCAGAAATACTGTAAAGATGATCAGGAAAGCCTGAGGCATAAAATCGAAGAATGGAAACAAGAAAATGCAAACACTAACATCTTCTATCGCACATCCTCCGAAGACTCGACACCTGAAAACACCAAGTAAAATACAGTCGATGGAGAGATGAAGAAGCGATTTCTTCTGGTACATCAAGAACCATGGAAGCAGCGACTCCTAATGAGATATGGAAAGGAAATGGTTTTTATGGATGCAACCTACAAAACCACCAAGTATGCACTGCCATTGTTTTTCTTGTGCGTCCACACCAATGTGGGGTACAAAGTGGTGGCGGAGTTCATGTGCCAGTATGAGGATTCCATTTCCATCGCTGAAGCCCTGTCTGTACTCCAGTCCTGGAACCCCGAATGGAGACCCAAATTCTTCATGACGGATTACAGCACATGCGAGATTGATGCCATCGAAGCAAGATTTCCCGGTGTGCTAGCCTACATATGCGACTTCCACCGTCTCCAAGCGTGGAACCGATGGCTTCGGAAAAGGAAGAATGGGCTGAACTCCAAGGAACAGCAGGAGCTCTTATGTCACATGAAGAAGGTAGCTGGATCAAAAAACTCAGGTGGCGTATGATTCAGCAGTAACATCCCTCAGAGCCCTGCCTGTGTATATAGCCAATGAAAATGTGAGGAGATACATTAAAAAGACCTGGATGGCGTGTGCACAGATGGGTGAAGGCTTTTAGAAGGCAGAAAGTAGACAACATCCACCATACAAACAATGGGGTTGAATCGCAGAACAAGTTGTTTAGGTACGAGTACTTGCCGTCTACACTGGACAAATCAGTGTTCGGCATAGCCATTATGCTGGTAGAGAAATTTATACCGGAGTCCCATCAAAGGTACCTTCAGGCAAACGCTTTACTAAGTAGCGGATACAGGCGATACAATCGATGGTTCCTCAGTACCTGCACAACCAACCCCCGCACTTTGTCAAGCATTGTCTGAAGGTCAAGTTCAGTGCTGCTGACATGACAGACCAAGACGTCACTTGTACGAACCTGAGAATGGGAGTTTTCTCCGTCCACAGCACATCGGATAGCACAAGGCTTCACACGGTAAACTTCGAGGGTCCGAGCTGTACATGTGAAATGTGGGAGAAATTCTACTTTCTTTGTAAACATTTCTTTGCGGTCTTCAAATGTTTCAACGAGTTCGGCTTCATGAGTCTTCCTGAAGAATACCGCAATAGCGTCTTCCTTACTCTAGACAATACAGCGTCAAGTACACTGACATCAGCCGAAGAAGATGCTATTACTGCTGAACCCACCACCTCCCTGATTATGCTAACAACCACAGAGAAAAGAAACCAAAGAGCGAACCAAACCCCGCGGAACCGTGCCGACAGTGCGGTAACTGTGCCAGACGAAAACTAGGAAGAGGACCCCAACATCGTCTTCTGCAACAAACCATAACCGGGGCACCGAGAGCAAGAATTGCAATTGACATCCTGGGACCGTTGGAGGAAACGAACAATAAGAAACTTAAATTTAGGTAATCTCGCAAAAGAGGATGATACCATAGACGTCATAAATGAATATTTTTGTTCATCAGCACCCGATGATGGCGATGATCTTGATGCATCTGTGCTAGAAAGTTTAGCTATCAGTGATGAATCTGATGATGATGAAGAAGACAATGGCGCTGTATTGCCCCCTGAAGCTCTACAAGCCCAGGAAGCTGAACTGCCAGTGGAGGTTGATGAGGAAGATGGTGTGTTGCCTCCTGAAGCTCCTGATATTCCAATAGATCAGGGCTACCCCCTACCGGTCTAGCCCCTACCACAGGATGAGGTCGATAAGACGCCACTGTTTGATCTAATTACTGTGGCTCGTGAAAAGGCTATGATCTGCAAGTGTAAAAATGGTGTGGATGGCATACAGTGCCGCGAGCAGTTTTCAGCAGCCACCATCCAGCAACTGATGTACGATTAATCAGAGAATACACGCCAGAAGTACGACATGCTGTTGCTTGGGAAGATAGCAACAGGGCTGATTCAGAGACCAATAGGAACGCACCGCACAGTGTTTCGTCATGAAAATAAGATCATCTGTAGGAATTTGTTCCTGTATATATCGGTAAGTTTGAAGCAAACAACAATAATTTTTCCTACATAAGCATTGTTCCTAGATTATCTTGAGCTTGAGTATCATAGTTTGCTAGCCTATAGCTCACTTGTAATTTATAATTATAATTATCGTGGGAGGATGTGGGGATGGGGACATGGGATGGGTTTACAGACGAGATAATTATAAGTGACACCTAACGGAACCGGTACCATTCTACCAAAAATTTAATTATTTGTAGTAAACATTTTAGAATAGGGCTACAATAAGATGCTATTAATGACTTCCAGCATTGGAAGTCATTCTGCTGAAGAACACTGCTGCCCACTACATCAGCGCAGGAAGTGTTCCACGAAATCAAAAGGCTGGAGGTCGGAGAGAGAAGAGAACGAAAGTGACAACGCTGCACATAGTGGAACTGAATCTGTTTTTCGAAAACCTGATTGAAGATCATGGCCTAGTAAGTGTGTTTAGCTAATCAAGGAACTCTCCTACAGCAAACAGTGGATTACCGAATTTGTATAAAGTCTCTTCATTAGTTAACAGAAGTGTGCATAATTCAGGTCAATGAATTGTACAAATTTCTGTCTATGCATGAATTACTGAATGGAGTGATGGATCCACGCATAATAATACAGTAGGCCTACTCGAAGGTGTATTAATGGTCATGAATTTGTTTCTGAATTTTTCCAGGTGACCCCGGGCCAAGTTCCTGGTCAACGCCAAATTGGAGCCAAGCTGCTACCCTCCTCCTTCACGAAGATGCAGATCCACAAGGAATACAAGGCTATGCGGATTGCGGAAGAAAAAACATTTATTGCACGATTAACATTTGTCCAATTCTGGAAGGAAATAAGGCCAGATGTGAGTAAAATACTACTGTGTTATTGCTAAAAAGTATTATTGATTTTCATCATGGCTCTAAGACTAACACAAATTGACAATGAAGTACTCAATTTGAAACATTTTATCTGTTGTGGCGGTGGTACCGGTAAGCATGAGCTGAGGTGCTCGCACGAGCTGAGGTGCTCGTAGGGGGCTGAGGTGCTCCTGGGGGGCTGAGGGCTCCTGTGAGGTTAAATGTTGTGTTTGTGATCGGTTTTATGTTCGTAATGTATTTCTGTGTGTTTCATGTTTGTTTTGTAAGTGTATGCAGCAATTACTCACTTACCGCCAGATTACGATGGGGGCTGCCATTAGTTGCGGTTGTAACCCCCTCTAGCGGCCGAGAGCGGCGCTGGCGTAGGAAACAGTAGGCCGTTCAAAGTCGTGTGCAAAAACGGCGTTGTGTTTTCGAGTGAGCGAGCGGGAAGGTTGTGAGGATAAGTGTAGAGAAATTGTAAAGTGAATTACCGGAGTGAGGAGTTGGAGGGAGAAAGAGAGAAGAGAGAAGAGAGGATTTGTTCGGCGAGCGTCCGTTCGAGTGAGCGAGGGGTAGACGTACCGGGTGAGAACCGGGGAGAAAGTGAGTACAGCGGAGCTGTTATTATCGGCACACCGTCGGGGCTTAATTTACAGTAAAGTAGGCAGTAATAATTTGGTAACGTTAACGACAATAGTAGAATTAATTGTGACTTCATAGACGTCGACTGACGCATTTAATATTACCTCGAGTTAGCAGGTTTTAGGGCAATCGGTGATTGGAGTGCATCCTTGTGTGCGTGACGGCCGTAACGGGGTCCCGTCAGCCAGCTGCCCCCCTACACGTTGAATTAATATCTTGTGTAGCCCCGCGTCATAAGTGCGCCGTGCTGTGTGTGTGTGTGTCACTGTTTGTCTGTGACGTCCGTCGTTTGGCATTGTTAACTCACGACAGCGCCGGAGAGAACGAACGCTGGTTGGCACAGACGAGAGCGCAGTAGCTTCGAGGCGCTCGCAGGGAGTGGAGGGCTGAGTGTGGCGCGATACGACAATAAGGTAGGAACATCTATCTCGTATTTCTCGTTGTGCCACTATCCACCAGTGTTGCACTGCACTATACGTGAGGTAAACCGCTAGTTACTGCGTATTGACAGGTGGTGCCCCCGGTGTCGAGAGAAAGCACGAAAACGCTACAAGCTCGTGCGTAGACCTACGGTTGTTTGCTTATGAGTGTTTTTGTCAAGCGACGATTACCCGGGGGGCGGTTTGATATGACCGCCGAGGGTGCCGGGCCGAAGACGACAGTGGCAGTAGTCTTCGTCGGACCCTACTGAGTTTAGCGGCAGTGGCATGAGGGGGCATGCTAGGCGGCGTAGAGGGCGTGAGTGGAGGGATAATGAGTTAACTCCGCCAACAATCTTGACCGGTAGGGTAGGGATTGAGTAGCAACTCCCCTGCTCGACGCTGATCTTCTCGTGTATTTATTGATCTCGACGAGGCAGCAACTGAACGCGTATTGGTGCCCGTCGGTTGGTCGGGCTACTGTTAGCCCTGCGCCGCGCGTCAGCGTGATTTCTAACGTCGCGGCTGAGGAGGACGGCCTTATTCTACTCGCACGAGCCGCGAGCAAGTATACTGCGAGAAATCGGACCGCTGAGGGGTTCGTTATTGTCTCAACGCTGAGGGATGATGCGTTGTATTCTCAGCCGGGAGGGATGATTGTAATGGGTTCCATCGTGAGAGTGGGGTGCGCTTCGTATGGCCTGTTGGCTGGGGAGGTATTGCGTTTTGGCATCCCCGCATAGTGAGGGAATCTGGGGGTCTCCTCGACCAGCTGCGAAGATAAGGTAAAGGTTAAGCCATTTACAGGCAAGGAGAGTGTTGCCATTAGATGTTCCTCCGCGCGTTGTATCCTGATAGGCAGGCTCATCATGGGGTGGTGTGCAGAGGAGTTTGTACATTTAGTGGGCACTGGAATGGCCAGCGTCCTTCGCGTTCTATGAAGCTGTAGTCGATGTCGACGAGCGATGGATGCGTCCGCGCTTGATTCGGCGTTTCCAACCTCTAGGAGTGCACTGGGAGAGAGCAGCCCCTACGCTGACTGCGTTCGCCAGTCTCGGCAAAGTTGCGCGAGTATGCCCGAGAATTAAAGAGGCTGACTGTGAAGGGCACAACCTTTTCTCACTTCGGAGCAAGCGATGAACAGGCGCTTTGTCAGGTTGCTGGAAATTATGCATTCGAGTCCCAGCCCTTGAATCTTACGTGTGTTCTACGATGAATTTGACCGTGGAGGGCTTCCGCTGCGAGCCGATGAGTATGAGGCGGAGATGGGCGATTATGCTGTCCCATTTCGTAAGCACGCGTGAGACCCTGCTGGGAGTTGATTCTCGGCTGCAGGCAGGGTGGGTTTAGCCGATTCCAGCTCTGGTAGACTATGTCGGGAGGACTTGGAGGACATCTCACTAGGTTGGTGCGGCCGAGATATGATGTGTGAGTCAAGATAATGTATCACGAGTGCGTGGCCAGCCACGCAAAGCAGCAAGTCAGCCGAGATTTTAGCACTCACGTGGTCCAGCTAGGACGTGATACAGCTGCTGTCGTGTGGTAGTTGGTGCATTTTGCTCTAGTCGCTGCCCGATCGCGCGCG